TTTTCATTTTTAATTAACCTTTCTAATCTTTTCTTTTCTATCCTCAACTTCCAGAGGCTTTGTTTGGGAGCTGAGAATTTGGTCCAGAATGTTTGGATAGAATATTATTTGGAATAATTACTGTATTACTTTTTTTGATGTGATGTATATGAGATAAAAATGTTATTGAAAATATAAAAAGATGGGTTGAAAAATGTGTTTATAATGCAAATAAAATATTATTTGAAATAATCTGCTATCCAAACACTTCCTTAGTTTTCCTTTTTTTTGTTAGTTTTTAGTAAAAAAAGAAAAGAAAGGAAATGGGAGAATTTCGAAGGATAAAAAGTAGCCAAAATTTTTCCTTCCAAATTGGACGAAAATGAAAAGAAATTTTGAGGAAACTTGTCAAATTTTTTGAAAATGCCCATTTTATCCTTAAAATGGTTTTGAATAAATATTTAATGACTTTCATATCCAAAATCATTTTACTAATTCTAAAAACTCCCAAATAATATAAGGAAAATTTGCCAATTTGGTCCCTAGCATTTTCACAAAAAAAACTTTTTTAGTCCCCAACATTTAAAATCATCCAGAATCGTTCCTAACATATAAATTATGATCCATTTTGATCCAAATGCTCGTATTTACTCATTTTTCCGACTGAAAATAGCACGTCTCTCTCACGTGGGCATATTTTTAAGAGTAAAATCAAAAAACAGCACTTCATTTCCGATTGAAAACAAAAGTATCTCTTTTCACCTTTCCCCCTAAAACTACAGTTACATAAAACTGTGCCGCCACCGCACACCCCCTGCTGCCTCTCCCGTCATCTGTAATCATATCACCCCCTCCTCCCCTACAAGCATCACCTTCCTCTCCCTTTGGCACAGCACCTCCCTCTCCAACTCTTTCACCTTCTCCTCCTCTACCAATTGTAGTTTCATCACTATCTATCTCAGTTTCTCCACCTCATCCCACTATAGAGTCACAACTCACCACCCATCCCTCTCCTGCATTACCTCCTGTATCGCCACTTGCTTCTTCCCAAGTTCCATCCTTGTTAAATCCCCCTTCCACTTTCGATTGCATCTCCTCTTTTCATCACCACATCTCTTATTCCACATTCTCTCCCTGCCTCCCGGAATAATACATCCCAAACTGATGCTCCAATTAGCTCAGCCTTACTAGCAATTGTCCCTGAGAAACCCACTACAAGATCAACTACATCTGCTCCAAATATTAATGCAATCACAATATCCAGAAATGGTGGGGGCATGAAGGGCAAAGTTGTTATGGCTAGGGCTGCAAACGAATCGAGCCGCTCGCGAGCGGCTCGAGTCAAGCTCGAGTTGAGCTCGATTAATATCGAGCTCGAGCCGGCTCGAGTCAAACTCGAGCTCGAACTCGAGCTCAGAATATTAAGCTCGTTAGCTTGCGAGCCTTGAGTATATATATATATATATATATATATATTTTATTTTTTTTATTTAATAATAAAATTACGTATATTATATATATTTTTTTTATTTCATAGTAAAATTACGTATATATCCTTAATATTTTATTATTTATTAACAAAAAAAATATTATTTTATTATTTATTAACAAAAAATATTATTTTATTTATTTTTTAATAAATAAAATAATTTTTTTTTATTTTTTCGAGCGTTTGAGTCGAGCTCGAGTTCGAAATTGCCGGCTCGTCGAGTTCGAGCTTGGTAAAATTCAGTCGAGACTCGACTCGATTAGCTCAAAACTCGACTCGACTCGTTTGCAGCCCTAGTTATGGCAATTGAATTTGTGGGCTTTGTAGCAATTGGTCTTGTGGTGCTTGGTGTTTGGTTGGCACGAAAGCAAAAGAAAAAAGGGCCCTATTCAACATTAGGTATATAATACCTTCTCCATATGCTTCCTCCCAAAATTCAGGGAGAAAACTAGAGTTTTTTATGACTGTAATTTTAGGAAAAAAAGTGAAAAAGGTTACTTTTACTTTCAATCGAGAATGAAGTGTGTTTCCCGATTTTGCCCTTAAAAATATGCTCACGTGAGAGAAGCGTGCTATTTTCAGTCAGAGAAATGAGCAAATAAGAGCATTAAGACCAAAATGGATCATAATTTATATGTTAGGGATGATTCTGATTGATTTTAAATATTGGGTACTAAAAAAGTTTTTTGTGAAAATATTAGGAACCAATTTGGCAAATTTCTCATAACATGAGTCTTTCCTTCCTATTCTTCCTATTCTCTTCTCGTCTCTCGTAACTTGAGTCTTTCCTTCTCTTCTTTTTCTATCCTAAACTCCCAAACTAAGCCTAGGGTTTTTGGCGCCGTCGTTCTCCAAACTCCTCGGCAAAGAAAAATGGTAAGGCGGTTCTTCGCCACCGAGTTATTTCTGTGTCATCGATGATGATTGTTGCTGATACACATATATGCAGATGTTGGATTCTAATTTCCAATCTTTCGTTTGGTTTTGAAAAAACCGATACTTCACTGACATTTTGATTTCTTTGTGTTGTCATTGATGGATGATTTTTTTTGTTTCGAAGGCTCCAAAGAGAGGTGCGAGGGCTCCAGCTGCAGTGGCGAGGAGGAAAACCGAGAAGGTGGCGAATCCTCTGTTCGAGAAGCGTCCGAAGCAGTTCGGAATTGGAGGAGCCCTCCCACCGAAGAAGGATCTCACCAGGTTCGTCAAATGGCCTCTCAATGTCCGGATCCAGAGGAAGAAGAGGATCCTCAGGCAGCGCTTGAAGGTTCCTCCGGCGCTCAACCAGTTCTCCAAGACTCTCGACAAAAATCTTGGTCACCTCTCTCTCCCTCACTCGCTTTTTATTTATTATGTTGTTTCCCTTTTTTCTTAATGTTATAAGATGGTTTTTATCGGGACTCTGAGTTCTTCACCTTGATTGCACCATCTTGACAACCCTGGTCTGGTATTTTACTGCTATAAAGAAATATCCAGTTATGTTCTTGACATAAATCTGTGCTCTCTCGCATATTGATCACCTATTGCATTTGTAATCCTACTTCAAATGCATACTCATTCGTATCCTCTTTCCCCTGATGATTGTGTAGAATAGGATCCCATTCCTTTTTCCCTGATCATTATTGGTTGAGCAGGGCAAACGGTGTTGCTGTAACTAAATAGGAAACGAAATCTTTACGTAAATTTAAAAATCATTCTTTTATGGTTCCTAGCCAACTGGATATGCCAGATGTGATAAATAGAAAGAAATTGAGGTTGCTCGGATCATAATATTTGTACATGGTAACTGTAGTTTGTCTTCCCCTATAATCTCTTGGATTACTAGAAACTGAGTCGTAGTGTTTTGCGCTATCTGTTGTCATGAAATTGGTAAAAGCTAATAAGTTGCCTTGGTAGATTTAAGGGAGTCTCTAATTGTGTCCCTATCTTATTAATACCAGTCAAGGAGATATCTTGTTTCCTTTTGGGGTTGCCATTTCGCTGCTTCGTTTTTTCTCTTGCCAATGTATGTATTCTCTGATGCTTCCTTTGATATACAGCAACAAATCTGTTCAAGATGCTTCTCAAGTACAGGCCTGAGGACAAGGCAGCCAAAAAAGAGCGTCTTCTCAAGAGAGCTCAAGCTGAGGCTGAAGGGAAAGCTTCTGATGCTAAGAAGCCAATTGTTGTCAAATACGGTTTAAAGCATGTGACGTACCTTGTTGAGCAGGTCTTTATCCTACTTTTCTTCTATACTCTGTTGGTTTTCTGTAGTGTCTCACTCTTGGTAGTGCAAGCTGTGGCTCATAGAAATTATTTTCTGCAGAACAAGGCACAATTGGTGGTTATTGCTCACGATGTGGACCCAATTGAGTTGGTTGTTTGGCTACCTGCTTTGTGCAGAAAGATGGAAATTCCCTATTGTATTGTGAAGGGAAAATCGCGATTGGGAGCGGTAAGTTTCCCTCTTTGTGGAGCCTTTTTGGAAGCTTTTATTGTAGCCAGGACTGATGTAATTCACACTCTCTCGCAGATTGTTCATAAGAAAACTGCATCAGTCTTGTGCCTGACCTCAGTGAAGAATGAAGATAAGTTGGAGTTCTCGAAAATTTTGGAGGCCATTAAGGTGATGCATAATTTCGTAGGGGTTGTACAAGTAATGATATTTCCTTGCCTTAAAAACTCATCTGACATTATGATTTCTCCTGACAGGCTAACTTCAACGATAAGTATGAGGAGTACAGGAAAAAGTGGGGTGGTGGAGTCATGGGGTCCAAATCTCAAGCAAAAACCAAGGCGAAGGAGAAGCTTCTTCAAAAGGAAGCCGCTCAGAGGATGTCTTAGAAAGAGCGATTTTCCTTGTCCTGATTTTTATTTGCGGCTTTAGATTTTTTGCTTCTGACATACATGTGTATTTTTGGTAGACATTTATTTGGCATGTTTGATTATCAAAGCTTCTGCAATAGTTAAATTTTGTGTTGACTGCTTGCTTTATGAATGGTAGTTGTTTCCATAAATGATGTTGGCCGAGTTTATAATTGGCATTGAGCGCGGTTTGGTTGGTCATATTTGGTCCGCTTGACTGGTGAGAAAAAACTGTGTGTTAAGTATCTGAGGACTAATTGGGTATGTCTACTACCGCCGGCTGCTCTGATATCAAGATTCCCCGCCCTTAACATTCCCTTGTTGCAACTAGTCTTCCGTTCTTGCCTGTCACTGAGCTGAATTTCGCAAGATCGTGTCGTCCTCTCTGCTATGTATAGTGACTTTAATTGTTTGTCAATAATCGCCTTAAGGTCAATGCGAGTGGAGACTGCTGATGCTACCATTCCAAGGATAAGCTCTAGCATGCAAAATGGATCAACTTAGGACGCTCTTAGGGTTGAAATCACATGTTTAAAGTAATACCAAGGCTACTAAGGAAGTTAAATCCCATTTTCAAAGTTTGTAAAGATTAGATTACGCAGAAAGAGCTGATTAATACCAGATACTCGTATTACCCTTTGTGAGGAGATATAGATCATGTTCAATCTCTCTAGTTGGCTCAGCATGAAGATTTTAAAAAATAAGAGATTAAGCAGGGGACACAGCCGAAGTTTTAGCCTCAGTTTCAGCACTGGTCATTGTGCATATTTACATGACAATAGCGAGACATATATACACAAACCTACTCAGCTATTATTACAGATTAAACAATTTACGTTTCACTTTATTCTTCACAAAATCTAGAGCTACTTGGATACAAGCCAAATTAAATGCCAGTTCTCGCTTTTCTTTCTGCTTGGCCTGGTGCTAGTTGGAAAAAAAAAAGAAAGGAATAAATGGCAGAGATAACTCTTTAGGTACTCGACAGCAGTACTTCCCCTGACCGCGAGAGGACGATGTATTATCCTGGAGGAGGATAAACATTGGATCATTGTCAAAAAGACTAAGCTTGAAATCCATTAAGATTACTGCTGTGCATTTCCTTCTTGGAACCAGCTTCAAAAGTTCTGATGATTTTCTTGCAGCTGCTGAAATAACTTTACAATTGGCTTGAGCTTTGGTGAAGATGAAAATGACATTATGTCAGTGTGCAAAGCATGCAACATCAAAGGCGATTTATCTCCTATCTGCTCTAGGTGTTCACTGGCCAATGAAACCTCTCCAGCATCTGCTAAAAATTTCAGAAAGGTCATATGAGCTTCTAAATTTTCTATGCCACAGATGCAACTGGTAAGCAATTTGGAAGTAGGAACATATAAACCTGCAAGGTTCAAGGAAAAATCAATAAAAATGCATATTTAATAGAATATTATAGAAGAACAGAGAGTACTGAAAATAGGAATTGCTACTCATATAATGGACCTGTTCTAGGTTGCTTAACATGAGCAGATTACTCTTTCTTTTTTATGTATATGTATTTCACAACTAAAGGTTGTTTTGAGCTGTTCTTGTTTACTTTTAACTGGTTTTAGCTTATTTTAAGCTAAACAAAGTCAATCAAGATAAGGCAGTCCACGAGTGGCTTATGGGAAGAGCTTTTAGCTTAATTTTTTTCCCCCAACAATGGCTTCTTTTTGAGTACCTTAGAAAGGTCTGAGCAGATTAGGACAGGCCCTAAAAGCATTAAGACTTAAAACTGGTGATTGGCACATGACAGGGAATGGGATCAATCACTCCACCATTGTGGCACTCCTAACAACTCCCATCATGGTTTGAGGCCAAGATAGGTGGCATTGGATCCTTAAGGAGTAATTGTCAATTAGGATATCAGTTAATAGGCAAGAGGTCTCCAGAGGGGTTGGGAGCATAACGCCAAATGGGATAGCAATCCGGTTGAATTTGATCATGTGTTTTCACAGTTCAAGGCAATGATGCATCAAGGACAAATTTCATCCTGGAAGACTCCTAGAAGATGCCACACTCCAAAGACTGCTCTTAAATCTTATGATGACAAGCCACCCGATCCAGTTTATGTTTCCTAGGCGGAGAACAACTGAGTTGTTAGAAGCTCCAAGCGTTTGTCAATAGCTCCCAGTTCATTCACACAATAGCAACTAACAGGATGGAATCGCACCTTCTTTACAAAGGAAGAGGATGAATGCAATCAAAGTGGTCTGGCCAAGCTTCATATCCTGTTCAGCAGACTTGTTAAAAACTCTAACAGCAGTGTCCAGATGTTTAGCTCGACAAAGTCCTCCAAGGAGGGTTGTATATATTGTTACATCAGGTGCAACCCCTTTCTCAAACATGCAACAAAACAGCCTGTGAGCCTCATCAATCTCACCTATTTCAACGAACTTCTGGATAAAGATAGAGTAAGTCTGTACATTTCCATTGCAGCAATTTGTGAACATCTCATCCCACAATCTTTTTGCTGGGCGCAGTAAATCCTCCCTGCAGCAAGCTTCCAGAAGAGCATTGTAGCATGATACATCTGGAACCAAACCTTTCTTCTTCATCTCCTGCAGTGCCTGATAGGCTTCTTTAATTCTCCCAGCCTTGCACAAAAATGTAATTATCACGTTGTAACTCTGTGTGTCAACGAAGTAATCTTTTGCGGACAAAACTTGAAAAACCTCAACTAACTCGCTGGATCTCCCATGCTTACAGAGGTTCCTACCCAGATTGGTTAAAGTAAGAAGGGTTGGAAGCCCTTCTTTGTCAAGCATGAAATTCAGAAACGACACTGCACAATATGGATCAACAGTTGATACGGATCCTATTAAAGCATTAAGAGCGTCCTCCTCAAGGGGGAAATTTCCACTGATAATGACTTGAGCTACTTGTTTTGCTTCGCAAACAAGTCTCACAGATATCAAGGCAAATATAAATTGTCCATAGTCATTAGACCTGGGTGCCACCCCCAACTTCCGTTTCTTCTTCAACACATTCTGAACATCAACCACATTTCCCATCTCCCGTAATGCTTCCGCAACAGTTCTGTAAGCCAAGAAATCAGGTTTGTATTCTCTTACCCTCAGGTCATCCAACATAGGAATAGCATCAGGCGCTCTAGACTGAGAACTCAGCCCGTGAACAACCAAAAATGCAATGATTGACCGATTTAGCCGTGAAAACCCTATGTTCATATGAACCTCATCCAACAACTTCAACACCTGTCCCACTTGAGCATTTCTGCAAAACCTCCATACGAACACACCGAAACCAACTGTAGTCAAGGCGATGCCTCTGTGAAGCATTTCATCCAACACACCTTGCGGGCATCGTTCAGGTTCCCCCCCTCGGAAGACAGAGCGGCGAGAAGTGAATTGCAGGTTTCAGATTGGATTTTGGAAGCCGCAGAATGGAGGAGTTGTTGGAAAATCGAGAAAGCAATATGGGTTTTCCTGCCTGCAAGGTGGTAGCAAATAAGGGACTGATAAACGCAAGGGTCAAGGTGGATATCGAGGGCTTTGACTTGCTTTAAGAGCATATCGACACTGTTGAATTGGCGGGCAATGGAGAGAGATTTGAGGACGGATTGGAAAGTAGCGGAAGTGTGCGAGAAGCCCGGCTGCTGAGAGGCCCAGTTGAAGAAGCCAAGAGCGAGAGAATGATGGTGGAGGAGGAAGGGATCGATGACTCGGGCTACCAGGGTCGGGTTCAATGAGTCGCGGCAACCGAGTCGGTGGAGGATTCGCTCCAGAGACGGAGTCCATGTCCGAGAAGGAGCAGTTTGGTTTGAAGCAGATATTAACGCGCGGCTTACCTGGCTGGGACCGGCTATCTCTCCCGACCAAGCTCGTCGCCTCATAATAGTATTAATAATTAGCAGTACTATAACAAAGCCACCCACCAACCGGCGAGTCTGGAAGATGCTGTTCTCACACACACTGCTACTGCTAGAAGCAGCTCAGTTCTCGTTCAACATTCCTTCGCGGCGGCCTTGTGCCTGATCTGAATGTAAGAACAACTTATATATTTTATTGTTCCGACGTTTAAGTTGTTGGAGCTAAATCTTTACAAGTCTCAAAGAGTAATTGACAAATGAACTGACTGACTGATGCGGAATTGCTCCCACTGAAACCATGCAATATGCGATATGCGGAACTGTTTCTTAGAGTGAGAACCCCCAATATACATACATACATATACATACATACATTTGTACACGAACTTTTGTAAACATACATTTGTACAAGCCCTGTGCTATCAAACTGTACAATGACTGCATTCTTCACAAAGACACCCCATCCACTTTTTAACATTTTCGGGACTGAAAATAAAATCGTTCCGCTTGTTATCTTTTTTACAAAGACAAGTCGGTCCCATATTGTATTCTATGTGGGGTGGGAAAATGGATATATATATATATATGCAACTATACTTGGAACTGACTCTTATGCACATCATTTGTTTTGTATTCTATGTGGCTGTAGAAAGGCACAAGCAGCGGCGGCATTAGGAGCAGGATTTGATCAATTTCGAATCCTGGAAACTTTTAGCTCTGAAAAAGCTCCCAAAGATACAGCCTATTGTTTTGGCTCCTTCTGCCTCAACAGGAGAACCTGAGTTGGGTATAACCCGCAGCAGGCTTTGTCCAATCTCACCTCGCACCGAATCGATCGTCTTATCATCAACCGGATTCCCCGTCACATCTGTAACATAAAATGTGTCTCTTACTTTTCCGCCTTCCGTTGAGATCTCTGCTCTTTTTATGGACAGACTATTCTCCCTAAATATCCTGGTTATATCTGACAGGAGCCCTACTCTATCTTCAGCGCACAATTCCAGCTCCAGACCCTGCAGACAAATTTTCTTTTGAGAACATAGATCTTTATTTGTCCTTCTGGAAGGTGAATTCTTAAGCATACGTACGCTACCACACCTCAGAGGCTCGCCTTTCAATTGCTGCTTCAAGACATTGCACAACCCGTTCTCGTTCAGCTTCCAAGCTTAATAGGAAGCCCATCAACATGCCGAATGTAGTATTCCTACGTGTATACAATGGCAACTATCTTAGAAGATTCGTTATGCGTGCACCGGAATATCAATCATAATTTCATTAGTTGCAATTTAGTAAGTAGAAGATCCAGAAGAAAACATTTAAATGTTCCGAAAACCTTCCCCTTCTGAAACAAAAGTTGCACTGACGAGCTCAACTATACTCAGTTCAAATGCATAATGATGTTTTAGGCTTCGAGCCAACAGGGAAAAGATCAAACATAGGAATTGTGAAAGAGATTGACTTTACCTGGTAAGCTTCCATCCTCCTTGTGTGAACGACTCCATGAAAAACAACATACTGCATATCTGTCAGAGTGCAGATAATATCGAACAGAAGCTTAGGCCGATCTTTTGACCTCATGGTGATCACTGTGTAATCCTTTTCGCTACAATCGAACACTGTAACTTGAGGACTAGAACCTTTTTCCTCAGCTCTGCCTTGTACTCTTTCCACCTTCACATAGTCTCTATCAGCAAACATAATTTGGTGCAACCTTCTCCCCCTGTGAGTGACCCCAGGAGGTGAAAGCGTCATTTTTGGAGACCTCATATCACTGTTTCCTTTAAGAACACTGCAAAGCAGTGCCTTTATAGTGGCAAGACGCTTTGGATCTTCAATAGCATACCCTGTGCTATCATCTGCGACATGTACCACAGCTGCAGCTCTGGCGTTGTGTGTCCAAATCTCAGCATTCACCACATTGCAGTGAAGATCAGTAAGGACTGCACAGACCTCAGACAGTAAACCGGGCCTGTCAGTTCCAGTTAGCTCAATAGACGTGTGCTCCTCAGAGGACATCAGTCCAACAGTTCTCCTTAACAAAGGTGCAGAAATGTCATCACTCTCTAGCGTCTGAAAATAAGCAAACCAACATAGAAATATTATGTTTAAGATGATTCTGAATGAAAAAACTAAGAACAAGCAAGATGCCAAGAATAGAGAGATTTTCTCAACAGTCTCAGACACCAAATTGGCCATATTAGAAACGAATTCTATTCCAAAATGAAAATAAAGGCAGGATAAGTACCTTCAATTGCTAATTTATGAACTTTCCAACATTGAAAAAGTAACTTAATTCCTCATGAATAAATCTAACCATGCAAGTTCAACAGAAATTTCTAAAACAGTCCTGCTGCATTCATTATACACAGGGTGAATCAGTTATTTGAAGCAGGATGAAACCAACTTTCAGAAGTCTTTCAGCAGAGTTTACCTTTTTGATATGGTTGATGACCTCTTCCTCCTGGACTTTATTCCCACTACGATCAATTACATTAAACACTGCAACATTCTATCAATTGATATAAACATATAGCAAATGAAATGAATAAGCACACACACATACCAGGGTAAGGTGATTTTGTTCGCCAGTTCCAAAACAATAATCAGATTAGAACAGTTAGACAAGACTCATACCATCCATGAACCATCCCCCATCTGATGAGATGTATGCTTTTGTGATGACAAGGTCCAAGTCGGTTAGAACTTGTACGACGTGGAGGAGAATCCCATGCTTCTTCACACTGTCAACCTGAGTGAGGTTCAGCAAGAATCATAGTCATAAGCCCAATCGAGTGCTGTAAATGTTTAAACCGTCCCTCGTTATCTCCCTGTATTGTAAACAGGACCTAGGACTTACTAGTGTACTAATGGAACTACTAATTCAGAGAGTAAGAAACCTGTATAATAGTTGCATCCTCGCAGGAATCATTGTCAATGACAACTCTGCAACGAGAACAGACAAATGAAATGAAGCAACAAAGAAGACAATACACCACTGAGTAAACAGTAAAGGTAAACGTAACAGGTTAGATAAAATCAGGTACAGCTCTCCTGAAAATGAAAAAAGCATAAAAGAATTGTGGATGGCAGCAGGAACCCTAGAGAAAAAATAGTATAGTTTTTCAACCAGATAGTCAGCAAAAAAAAAATTCTCCGTCCCCTTTTAAAAAATTAATTCTTAAAAAAACCATAAAAGAACAACTTCATTAAGCAGTACTACTAATTACTTGTCCAACTCTCGTTCCAAACATTAATTTTCTTCCAAATAGTAAATTTAACCAGCCACTACCAATGAAACTTGCACATCAAAAAAAATAATAAGGGAGAGAGCCAAGGGGAGGGGGTAAAAACAAAAAGAAAGGGGAAGGGGGAAAGGAAAGATAAGAGACTTGGAAGTTAAAAGTGTTAAACAAAAACATGGAGCAACAGAAGAATCTAAGGAAATGTTAGCCCCTGAAGGGAATCCAATACCAAAAGGAAAACTGAAATTGTAGGCCAGCCAAAAAAAAAAAAAAAACAGAGCGCTATGGGTTTTGTATTTCGTCTTTTCTTTCTTTTCAATTTAACCGCCTTCACTTGACACAAGAAACCCGGCAAGGCGGGACGGGGGGGAGAGAGGGGAACAACAACAACAGCGTAATGCTTGAGATTGAAGAAACTATCGTAAAGAGGGGGGGGAGAGAGAGATAGAGAGAACAAGGGACTTGGGAATAGATAAAGAAATGAGAACGAAGGGAAACCTGGGCGGGTTCATCCTCCTGAGAAGCTTTGCATATTCGTCGTCCATTTTCCTGGGGTAGAGTAGTTTTTCAAGACAAGTAGTGCAGGAATTTTGTCGCTGGAATTGAAACTCCGAGATGTATGGAGTGTGGTTGAAGAACAGTCAATTGGCGGTGCCTTTGGTGGGTGGGTGGGTGGGTGGGTAGACGTTTGATAGCAAGACTCCGGAAGAAAAGAGACAAAAATTGAGGATGGCAGAGCAGGATAGTCATGGGGACGAGAGAGACCCGAGGCGGGGGTTGGGACAGACGTGTGTCATTGACGTATCCAACGACGCGCGCTCTCTCTCTCTCTCTGAAGTCTAAACTACTTCGTGCGTGACCGTTAACCTGAACGCTGCTTATGTTCAGGTAAATCCTGTCTGCGTGTCTACGCGACCTTATTTGTACAGTGTGTCCGTTTCAAGATTCAAAGTCTTGCCAACACAATAGGTTTGTTTGAATTGAGATGGGACAATGCTACAGTGCCTATAGTTATGGTAACGATATTAGAGAAACCTACTATTACAGGTTTCTATTACCTTTAGTGACAGATTCAATTTTTTAGCGACTTTTGAAATATTATATTAAAATAATTAATATTAAATTTAGTAAGTTTTTAATTAAAACAAGTAAATTTATGCCTGAAAAATAAGTTTTTGTCAGAAATAGAAATTTACACTTTGAGTAATTTAATTTACTTATTATTTGACGAAAATTACTTATTTTTGAATTAAACTTACCAATACTACAAGTAAAAAATGTTCATATTTAAGTAAAAAAATTACCAGTTTCTAAAAACGGTTTTGGGTTCCTGAAACACTTTCGGATATCATCTTGTCAAAGTCATCTCCCTCTTATTACTTAGTTCTCAGTTCCAACATACGATTGAAGGCAAAGATTTCCACTTTGGTCCACACTTTCTCTTGGTTACAAGCGAATAAATTTTCCCACTTCAAATTTTCATCTTCAGTTCCCACTTTCCCTCTATCCTTTCTCATCGATAGATTGTTTTTGGGTGCTGCCAAATGCAGACACAACAAAAGGGTTTTTCGACGGTGGTAGCCAATCAAAGATAGCAGTGACGAGGTTAGCCCATCATGTCCTCTTGAAATCGTTTGATTATATTGCTGTAATTTATTTATATTTCATTTGTTTTGTTTGTCAAGATTTTCTTGCGAAATCAAGGCTGAGAATTTGAAGATTTTATTGCAATTTTGGGGCTGAAAATGTCCACTGAAACATCTAGCCTTGATTTGGTTGTAGTTTGGATTGTCTACTGGTAAAACATGCTTAATAGCCATATGAAGCATCTAGGACTTGACTAGGCGTTTAAGTTAAATGTGATTAATTTGTGAATGCATATAAG